CTCTCTCTCTCTCTCCCCCCTTCTCTCTCTCTCTCCCCCCTCTCTCTCGGTGAGCCACCAATATTCCTGGTCCTAAAGACATTCATTTTCTCTCTCACTTTTTCCATCAGTTTTTGCCAAAAAGAAGCTCTGTATCTCTGCGCTCCGGCTGCCTGTGTCATCCTTAAAGATAAAATCACGTTTTAATCATTACAGCAAAAAGCAGAGATCAAAGAGAATTGCTGCAGTGGAAGAATTATTAAGATCATTTAGCCCAATCAAGTGAAAGTAGCATAGTTAGGATTATATATATCGTTTCATGATGTCTATGATGTTTAAATCTAGATGTTGATGCAGATATATTTAACTAGATTATACCATGCCCTCCTAATTATGTTCAAGCATGTAATAAACGGCAGTGTTTGTACAATGCTGCCTTCTTGTTGTTTTATAAGCAAATGTGTGAATCAACATCAAGCAGAATTTCAGATGCTTTTTCATGCCTTTTTTAATTTTTTTTTAGGAAGAGCAAATACATTCAGTACTGAATCTTGACATGGTGTACTTTCTGAACATTTTTTAACTCAGACAAAATTGTCTACAATTCACAAAGGATATAAATTTGACTCTTTGTCTCTTATCGTTCTAAAGTAGAAAGGCAAACGTAAAGTAAAGTGACCAGTGTGCAAAAACAAGTGGCAATTGTTCCACATCTCTCTAAACATCATATTTGAATATATTCTCTTTATTGCTGTACTACAATTGATGCCGATACAACTTTCTAAGTGTTTGTCTTGTTTTTCTCTTAATACAATGGCTGCTTTAAATAAACCTTTGTAACTTCAATCATTCACGGCTTGAAGAGTACCTCTGTGTCCATCCGTGAACCGGAGGCTCGTCTTTTTTTTACAGAGCAGGTTTTACTTTGTTGAGCAATGGAGAAAACTGATAGAAGAGAAAACAGGTGCTACAGGCTCATTCAAATATACGTCATACCATGTGTTCTGCCCATTAAAAGGGTTTTAAGACTTTTCATGTAAAGATTAGTCTCGCATAGCCAGAAATCCACAGGGGAAAACTAAGCCACGCTCCAGAGGAGAGTGAGCCGAGTGGGGATCCATGAGCAGGGAGACAAGGCCAACAGGATGCAGGACACGAGAACTGTGATCACACACACAGAGAGAGAGAGAGAGAGAGAGAGAGAGAGAGAGAGAGAGAGACTCTATGCAGAGCATTACAGACTTAAGTGCTCCAACCAAGCTACTGCTTAATTTAACATGCAAACAAATAACAAAAATGCTGAGTTACAAGCAGAGCAAATGTCTGTCGTTTCTGTTGGTGAACACACGAACCACCAGCTTCCTGCTGCTGTCTTGAATTAACTCTGACATTTCTGTGAAGACATTTTCTTTATGAAATCCTCTTATGTGATATTGTGAAGGGGAGACTCCTTTTTTAATTTTTGAAAGGCTGAGGTGAACCCAGGGGTGTTACACAATACAACCCCCCTTTTGCCTTCGGAATTGTCTTAATCTTTGGTGGCATTGATTCAGAAAAGGTGCTTTTTTTGTATATATTGACATGACAGCATCACTCAGTTGCTGCAGATTTGTGGGTTGAACATCCACGATGCATATCTCCCATTCCACAAACATCCCAAAGTTGCTCTAATGGATTGAGATCTGGTGACTGTAGAAGCGATTGTAGGAGTGAGTACAGTGAACTCATTGACATGTTCAAGAAACCAGTTTGAGATGATCTAGGCTTTATGACATGGCGCGTTATCCTGTCGGAAGTAGTTAAATGGGTACATTGTAGTCATAATGGGATGGGCATGGTCAGCTACAATACTCATAGAGCTCCATAAGGGCAAACCAATGATTGAGACATCTGTCTGAAGTTCACCAGAGGTCTCTAAACCGGCTGCCAAAACCTCAGCCAAATCTGACCAGTGAATCACCTCAAATTACCCCGCTGCTACATCTGAAGTTGTGAAGAAGAATTACCCAAGTTCGAATTAAAAGACAGCCTGTGCATGTGGTTTCCTTTCAGCATGCAGTGTCTCCACATCATCATGTCAAGAATGTGAAAGCTGTCCAAAACTAACAAACACGCAGCCATCTCTGCTCATCAATGTGTTATTGTCAGAATCACTTCACAAATCAATCACAAGATTTCTGAGGAGAATACAAGCAAATGGTGTCAGAAGAGGGCCAATGATTCTTGTACCTGTAGTTCTTTTGTCCACTTATGCCAAATAATGATAATTATTTTTGGAGAAGAGAAAGACAAACTGCTGCCAGTGAAGTTGCAACCATTCGAAAGTTACACATGACGTGATTGAAAACGTTTTCAAGGAGAAAAAGAAAAGACAAAATAGATTTCAAATGATATCTACCACAAGTTTTTCATGGCTCAATAGACCAGAAGGCAATGCAGCCACAAAGCTTCACACATGTATGCTTCATAAGTTCCTCTGACACAGGAAATCACAAGCTGAAATAGAAGTAATGCAGAGAGGGCATGAGGCAGACACCAAAAACAACACAGCTTCTGAATTCATTGGGGTTACTTATACGCCACCAAGTGACAGAGAGCAGCAGGTCATGATTTTCATCTTGGGCTCAAACATTTAAAGCAGCTATATGATCAATATTTTTTCATCATAATAATGGATCTGTAACTGTGGCTGGCACAGGACAGAAAACAGACAAAACCCCAAAGAGACAACAAATAAGGAGCAAATCCAAAATATTTAACCTTGAAAAAGGCAGAGGAAAATGGGAAGCGGCTGAGCTACTGAGCGGAGCAGGTCAGGTTGAGTTATTAGAGGGAAGGTCAGCCTGGCTGGAATACTATAGTATGGAAAACCAGATGTGAGTGAGGGAGTGAGGAGTGAGTGAGGAGGGATTCCTGATAGGATTGTTTTCGAGTTATAAACTGATGACAAATTATCTCCAACTGCAGGCTTTTCAGCATCTTTCAGCACATTGTTTTTGGTTTTATGACGCACATCAGTGACGTTTTCTCATTTTCAGCCTCAGAGGGCAGATGTTTTCAGCAAAAAAGCTTTGAAAACCCACTGTACCCTGAAGCATCTTACCACAAGTAGACAAAGTTAGCAAAAAGCTGGTGATCAGAGGGTGCTTTTCCTTATGCAAACCTGTCTCCTCGATTCCTTTCCTCGCCTCAACTTAAAAGGTGGTGATATGTCAATGTTGTGTTTCCTCTGCCCTTCAAGGGCCAGGAAAATGTGTTTTTGGGGCCTAACTTCAACATCCCAGAGGTTCTTTAAGGTCTCCTAAACTCCGCTGCCTTATGAACTAGACTCTTAATGAGTGTCTGGAACTTTTTACGCTTTTGGGTCTTCCACCTCCAGCATCCTCTAAGACACAGCTGTAAACTGTGAGGCCCATCTCGAGGTCTTCCGCTCAGGTTGCTGGATTTTGTTATTTTATGCTTCCATTGAGGGCGTTTCATCATTTCATTCCTTGAACGTCATGCAGGCTGTCCAGGGTTTCTGTAGACAGTCACCCAGCTGGAGTCGCCCAGAATGACGGTACTAGCTGTCGTCTCTCTCTCACCACGTTCCCCTGACCTTTGTTTGACTACGTATAGGCTACTATCTCTCAGGATGATCTCAAATCTAATCATGTAATTAAATTATAAGAACTCATTACTTTGAATCGCCTGCAGAAGTAAAGCTTTGTCTCAGGTCTCATTACATGACATTTCTTCTTCCGTGAACAGTCTAGTTTGTTGGATGATGGAGGACGAGAGGGAGGGGAACGTAGAAAAGAGAGGGGGGGTCTTCATTTTGAGAAATTAAGCCCCATAAATCTTTCTTCCATTAGAGGAGGATGATCCATCCAACAGCTGCCGTTTCATAACATAAAATGATATATTTTATGTTATATTTCATTTCTGTCAATAGTGTGTCATTGAAGGGTTAATTCAAGTGTTGCTGTTACTTAGTGTGTACTTTTGAAACAAAAGTTAATGATTAGCTGATTATCCAGGGGAACAATGATGAAACATTGTAACCCAATAAAGCATTGTTTGGGCAAGACTTTTGCTTGTTATTTTGGAGAGATTCTCACCGTTTGTGCATTTGAAAGAAATTAACACTTGCTGGAAAAAGAAACACTGATTGCAACAGGCTTTTTCCGGTTGATCACATTGTCTGCTTTTGTTTAAGCCTTACATGTATTATCCACACGGTGGATGTCTGCAGATGGATTGTTTGATTGCAAAGCTGCAGCAAAATAAACATGTGCTACAGTGCATGTAGGTAATTGTATGTGACTCGGAGTTGAATTCCAGTGCAAGATATTAACTTGAGCCATTCAGGAATACCTTTTACTTGTGTTGCTGATAATGCAGGTTGCTTCAACATCTAATATTCCTTCAAGTTATTTACCACACATT